TTGAATTGCACCATCGTATCCTTACATTACTTATTTATTGCATAGTGTTGTATTTGAGTTTTATCTCGGTACGTGTGCGCGTACAATTTTATTTTGAGCGCGCGCATTATTTCTTTATTTATTTAATTGACGTGTACATTTAGTTCGTTTATTAACGTCTTTACTTTGCGTTATTTTCCTCACATATACATTGTCCGTGACTGTGCTCACATGGTGGGTGGCTCCTCCTAAAATGTTCTGCAATTGGTATAGGATTTAATGGAGCCTTCAGTAGACATCCTACTGATGAACAGTTGCGGCACGAGATATGTATTTTTTAGCAACTAAGATAATTTGCAGTCTGTCTACTTTGAATTGGTACTATTTCGCAAAACTAAATCACAGAAGATAAATAAAATAAATAAATAAATAAAATAAATAACGATTTGCAGGTAGCACATCCACATAGTGGTTCTTCGTCTACCTCATTCCTGGTCGAATTGGAATTTGGAAATGTTGGTTTCGAGGAGAGGGGAAAACCGGAGTACCCGGAGAAAAACCTCTCGGAGCAAGGGGGGGAACCAACAACAAACTCAACCCACATATGGCGTCGACGCCGGGATTTGAACCCGGGCCACATTGGTGGGAGGCGAGCGCTCTCACCACTGCGCCACCCTTGCTCCCCAATACAATGTTCCTAGGGATGAAACTAGGCATTTCAAATTAACTGTACAGTCCCAACGCAAAGATATATATTATTGGTCATGATCAGAAAGACTGAAAAGGAACGGTCCTTTTTTTTCTCGAAATCTTTTTCTATCGTGTATTACGTACAAAGTTGTATTTTACTCCTTGATCTGAATTGTTAGATCAAAAAAGTTGAACAGAATCTAACAAAAAAGAAATATTCCTTAAGAACATGCATTCCTGACTGCGCGCAGCATGCATGGGTGCTCGCACGTATAGACCCTAGAGGTTTTATAAGTTGTTTGTCCATTCCTTCGCATACACTTGGATTTCCAGTCATGTCTATAAAATTCAGACGTCACCAAAAATGCATTTTGAACATATGAATTATACAATCGTGATCATTGTCATGTCTCTTGTGAGGAACATTGATGTCAGTAAGACGCGTGAATATAAGAAACCGTTTTGGGTAGTAACGTGATCGATCGAATACGGATATATTCAGCTGTTCTTTACAGACAACGGATGCCCAATTAAACCATTACAATGTATAACTTAAAATAGTTTCTGCTTTGCGGGACCCCACGTAGAGCACGCAACAAAATATCCTTCTGAGTAGGTGGTGATATTGGAATCACCAAACAAGTGACTTTATTCGTTTCATCATAGTTCATGCCAACTAATGAAAGAAAAGTAACCTTGTAACTTAGTCAACTTTGCGCATCAAAACGTTTTACCTTTAGAAAATTAGGTTATCTTTTTCATTCTTAAGTGAAAATGAATGAAACAATTTTGCAATCAGCGTACTGAGATTCTGGGAAAATGCCCAAAAACTCTTCCCCTAACCCATTGCTAACTGAACAACTTCTTACTCTTGACTGTATGTTAGGTTTCCCAGAATCTTACAATGCCAATTTTGGTGGTTCCGGTTAGGATAATCGTCAATCTGTTGCAACAACTGATGTCACTTCTGCCGGTCCTGCTTTGAATGTGAACGGAACCAACACTTAAATATTTGCTGTATGGTAAAATCGAGGTAACAAAAGCTTAGAGAGTATCAAGAGTTTAGGAGAGCTTAAAGCGACCGCGTGGTGGCTGTAGTCACAGTAACCTCCTATGAAGCCTACTTTAGGCCGGTACAATCGCTTAAAAAAATCCACCAATTTTCTTTACTTTCTAAAGTAATTTTAATAACAAGTCTTATACAAAGAAAAATATCAAAAAATAACGTCATTAAGCGCCTGTTCTCAGAGTGATATTAGAAAAAGATAAGAGTAATTCTTTCGATTGCTGACTAAAGTAAAGCAGGGCCAAGCAGCTTTGCTGAATGCATAAGCGTCTGAATCAGTGCAGTGCTTGCATTTCACGAAGTTTACTAGTCTTTAAATGATGGCCAATTGAGCTCTGTGTTTTCCTTTTTTCAGCATTTGACACTGCACTAGGTGGTCTAAACTGTTGACTCTTTGACGTAACTCCTAGGAATTTGAAGCAAGCAGCAATTAAAAGCTATGGATATACAGTACGAAATTTGACGTTTCATTGCATATTTCAAATATCTCCTGCAGCGTGGAAGAGTTTAATGAGGTATTGGAAAGCAAAACAGCTATATTTTAGAAATGAAACATTAATTTAAACCGAGCTCTTTTGTTTCCGTTTTAAAACCATTTACGCAGATTGAGCCCTTATTTATAAATGAAAGCGTTGTTTTCTTGTCCCGCTGCACATGTTGGTAGCCATGAAAGAAAACAAAAACTCGTACTCACCAAGCAACACACGAAGAGCAGAGTTCTTTAGACATGTCCATTGACCATCAGTGAATATAAAAGTATTGTTTTCGCTAGGACATGAACAATAGCACTTCTCGGAATTATAACTTACTGGTCTGGCATTGAATTTTTTACAGTTTACTGCGTCACTTGCATTCAGTTGACACAAAGAGAAAGGAATCTTGAATGAATCGGTTGCCCCTTCTGATCCACTGACGCCTTCTGGCTTTCTTCTGTAAATCTTGAAAACTTCTGATGCTTTGACAACAGCCAACAAAATTGAAATCACGGTAAGTCCAATTTTCGTTTTCTTCATTTTCTAATCTCTTGTTTGCTGAAATAATGGAACCCTCAGGAAAGATCTTAGGGTAAATTTGTTTCCACTTTAGCTGTCCTCTCCTTTGTTGTTTAAGTTGTAAACGATAATAAAATATAAGTTATAATTGGTTTTTCAATTGTGATAGAAAGCGTGTTTAAGCAGTGGTCTCAGTTTGATTTCACGCTCCATAAATTCCCCTTGAAAGTTGACGTTAAACATCACGTTTGTTTCCTGTTTGTTGTTTGGTCGACTCTATGAGCGTTCCGCATGCGTAATAGGAGCTTGAGCAACAACGACGGCGACGGCAACGAAAACGTCACTTAAAAAGTGAATTCGCACTGCTTCAAACTGTATCGCGCTTCTTCCATCTCGTTTACTTCGTCAAATGTTGGCAGATGCTTTTGAAGTTGAATTCTAAAGGGCTGTATCAAAGTTCAGGAAAAGAAAAAGAAAGATGATTTTTCAGGGGCAACACCACTCAAGTTTGAGCATTCACTGCCCTTAACAAAGATGTAGGAAAAATTCACCAAAGCAGTACTTCATACAAGCATAAAAATTTAATGAGATCAGTGATTTACTGACATTGAAGTGGATATGGCAACGTAGTGTAGTCATTACTTATTTTACTTGTAGTCGTTTTGCTTGATGCTGCGAAGAAGTTTTCTCCGCCTTCGTTCAGGGCAGCTTGTTCCTGAAATAGCTGCCTCTATACTCGCAAGCTGAGTTTAAGCCAAAAAAAAGAACTGCGAGAGCGATTGCCCAAAAAAATTCCATCCTGATGGCGTAAGTTTGTCCTATCTGGTTAACGAGCGCTGATTTGACGACGTCTCAGCTATTTCATTCTTTTACCAGTTGTCAACATAAATTAATGACAGGCTAAAGACAAGAGGTCACAAAGATCAAATGTAAACGCTACTGATAAGCTTGCTTTCAGCGCATGCGGGAACCAAGGAAGAGACATGAAGAACAGGCACTTCAATGTGACATGCGCGAAAAAAAATACAAAAATCAAAAATCAAAGGATACACGTCAAGGAAGTCAGTAAAATTGATATTTTACTTGATTAATTCAAACAATGCACTTCATTGACTAAAGAAAAGTCTCGTTCTTTTTAGTAAAAGCACGTTTCGTGAGGTTTGTAAATACCGATGGTCTTCAAACTTATATTATTTTGAACGCGTAATTAAAAAGAAAAGTCGTCGAACTTAGCCTTGCCTAAAATGTTGAATGGTAATTTTTTCCACAGTTTCAGTCCTGCTACTGAATAATATGCTCTATACATCGCCAAAGATTTTCAGATTAACTACGGCTCATCAAGCAACAGGTTATTTGAAGATGCTAAGACACGGCCCATGTTAACTAAAGAACAGTTGAATCAAAATGGCGTTTATTATATATTAAGAAGCATCACTCAAGAAATCCGGGTAATAAGGGCATAACTAAGATGAACATGGTTTGTTGAAAATTTTATTTAACATTTTGGTATTTATCCATTTATTTATTTATTTATTTTATAATAGTAAGCTATATATAACAACATGAATGCGAAACATGGGACATTTCGTTTTCTTTCAATTAACTTTTCAAAAATGTTCTTCACCTGCTGTTCCTTTTCGTATCGCTTACCGTATATTTTTCAAAGGCCCTTTTTGAGGGGCTTATTTTTGGAGGGGCTTTTATTCGGAGGGGCTTATCGACGGAGGGAAATTTGCGTTTCAAAATCGATTGGGTCAGTCTCATAGTTGGAAGTAAATTCACGGTTTTTGCTTTGTTCTACGTTATACCAGGCTTATATTTGGAGGCGCTTATACATGGGGGGGCTTATTTTCGGAATTTTACGGTATTTTTGTACGCTAACAGAAAAAATATCTTGCAATGGCATCGCAAAACTTGCATCACGCTTATTCGCATTACATGTGTTACTTAATTGTTTTACTGGCATTTTTGCATTATTCTTCTTTCGAAGCTTTCTTGAGTGATTGTCCAGTTGACATATATTATATTACATATTACATCATCTAAAACATATTTACAGAAAAATTGCATTGTACAACAAGTAACATTATTGAAGTTAGTCTTTGCTTTAAACTCATTGGATAAAATGTTGTTTCCCAAGGCAAGGAAACTATGAATAAGCGCATTTTATAAATAATCTACTCTTCTTTTCCGCGTAGTTTTTATATTTCTTATTGCAAGCAATTATTGAGGCCCTGTGTAAAGGTGTGGCACGTCTTCATTATGTAAATTTTTCACAAGTGCCTGTTCCCTGCAGATGAGGGACCTCTATGAAGAACATTGTACAGATGGTCTTGCTGACCGCCGACACCAAGTCGATCAACAGCTTCAGCACCATCCGATAGTGGCTTTTTCAGCACGTCATACACGGAATCTTGCGTTTCACCTTGATAATTACCTGGATTAATGTCCTCGATTAGGCTATAAACACTTTGCTCCAGGCTAAGAGGGGTTGTAGAAATAGATTTATCTGGGCCATGGCCAGGCTTATCATCGATGTGTTTCGTACGTAAGGGCTCAACAAAGTTGTATTCCCGTTGCTCAAAAGCGCCCAGAGGTGTTTTGTTCTGGTATTCTTCCGTAGGAACATATTCGTAGGGTCCGTCCGCTCCGGGGGGCTCCAAAATGTTGTACACGGGTGCTTCCAATTCACCTGGTGGAGCCTTTTTTAGGTGTTCTTCAATAGGAACACATTCAAATGTTCCGTTTGAGGTGGCTGCACTGAACGGCTCCAATATGTTGTATACCGGCTGCGCCATTCCGCCCAATGGTGTGACTCGCTGGTAATCTGCAGTAGGAACATATTCATATGGGCCACCTGATGTCTCTGTACTATGGGGCTCAACAGTATTATACACAGGACCCTTTTCCGTACCAAATGGAGCGTCAATCTGGAGGCTTTCATTGGAAATACTCTCATATTGGTCTTCTGTACAATCTGTATTTGCAATGGGGACCCTTACGGAACTCAAGGTAGTGTTATTTGTGGCGCCACTGGGGACCTTATAGTTTGAAGCATATAACGCTGGAAAAGAATTAAAATACCAGTTAATATTATTTAACAGTTAATGAATGAGGCTGAGTATCTTATGAAGAATTATGGAGATCGAGGAGGGTGTTATCCGTCGAGGCCTTAGGCCGAGGCGGATAACACCCTCCAAGATCTCCATAATTCTTCATATGATACGAAAGCCGAATTCAATAACTGTTTTATTATTCATTCAAAATAAGTCCAAGTTTAAAAACATAGCTAAAACATGCTTACCTCCATCGATCCATCGATGTTCAGTTCATCTTCGATAGTGTACGTTTAGGTTTGTCTAGCTCCGCAAATATTCTCCAAATAGCAGATGTCGCCCTTCGAGTTGTCTTCTTGCTGTTCTTGCCGTGTTTTTAGCTATTTTTTCGCCTAGTTCTTATTCTTGAAACGAGTGAAATGTCCGCCATTTTTTTAATTTCACAACCAAAACAACTCAACCTCGTCCCCAGGTCTTCTCGGTTAACGGTGCCTTAACCTGCGAAAACGCTGCATTTTTGACGTCATTTCCTCGTTAAAGTCAAAATTCCTCCAAATTTGGTCATCAGTAACTGGTTATGGTTAATTAAACATGTGTTTTTAGCCAATCAGAATTGGGGAAATATTTTGAATGAATAATAAATTTAGTTACTTGTATCATCTCAGCTATTGCTATTAACAGAGTTCGTAGAAAACTTCCTTGATAGTTTGCTCCGTTGAAGTAGCTTGAATTCACCATTACACAGGGGGCGTCATTACGCATCCCTTCATTACTTGAAAACTGCACTATAAGCAGTCTGGAAAAAGTCTCTCACTGTTGTAAATTCTCCCTGAAAAGCTCTGAGGGGATTGGATTATAAGACATTGGCGATTTTATTAACAATTCTGCTCTCTTGTCATACTTACTGGATCCACTGTTGCTTATTGTGGCATAGGCTGCATTTTGTTCACCCGATTGGAAATTTGGTTGACTTGTTTGCCCTGCTTGATCTCTGAGGACCGGGTGACTGTAATCAGCCTGTTTTCTGATTTGAAATAAAAAGCTAAATTTTAGTGAGTCCAAACGCAAACCAAATAAAGGATATCAATTATTAGTGTTGTCACTTGAGCTACCTTTTGCATTTCCATCGATAAAGAAGGAACCCAACAATGAAAATAAAAATTAGACAGCAGCTGATTCCAGCGATGAGACCCACGGATAAACGAGAAGTTCCACCATTGCCTTTTCGATCTGCAGCAGAATTGGGACCAGGAAGAACCTGAAAAAGAACATGAAGGCAAACTTTACACCATATTCTACAAATGACCAGGAATGTCAAACACCTTCTTCCATTGAAAGAATTCACTGTTTCTCTAAACAGACAGCTCGTCATTACTCAAAAGGCCACAAAACACACTTCAGATAAAGGACATATCGGGGGTAACACCATTTGCTGTTAGTATAAGAATTTTTCTTATAGCCTTTTAAGGGTACATGACAGTTTGACCATGAAACCACGATCTGCGTCCCCTACCCCTCTAGAACATTTCATAGGTTATTTTATGTCCCATTCTAGAATGAGGGTGACAGGGCCAACGGCGTAACGTAACCTTCTGATGACAAGATCATCTAAACTGATGCAAAGTTTTCCTCACAACTAACAAGATCGTACCAGATTTTGAAAGAAACTGTTTGATAGTCCCGCATAATACGTCCTCCCGCTCAACAGACAGTCCCGCTCTTCTACCAACTAATAAACGTATTCTTGAACGTCAACATGGGCAACAAAGTGTCTTTGACACAGGGATGTCCGCATTATTTGGGCAGAAAATATAACTTTGACGCTAGGGCCGGGTTCAGTTATGAATGGTTGACTTTGTCGACTTTACCTCAGAAGGTGACAGAGAAGTAGTAGACTCCAGCTGAGTGGATTCAGTTATTGTTACAGCTAAGTCAGTCATTGCAGTGACTGTCTCTGTAGTCTCGGGTACAAAGACTGGACCTAAAAATAAAAATAAAAAAACGTCTTTCATATGTCGGCCTCTTGAGGCCGAGTTCTGAAGTTTTCGAATAATGGGAGAGAAAAGTCATCAATTCATCGAGGACTATAATTGCCTGCTGTATAATTTACAGTCCCATATTCGTGGTTGAAACGATTTAGATGGCAGATTACAATTGAATCGCGTCCCACTTAAACTGAAAGCTACCGATAAGTTCTTCCTTTTTTACTCTGCTGTTTATCACCGAGTCTTGCTCACATGTCTCAAATGTAAGTGGAAGGTTTAATTTCATAACGAGTTTTTAAACCTCTTCTCAACATGCTGTAACATGTTCCCTTTTGTCAGAGGATATTGGTTTTAGCTCACCGATCTGAAATAAAGCCGTCCCGTCCCCCTTTCTCTCCCCCCACCCCCCGCCCCCGTAATGGCGTTATGGATGTTTCTTACTTTTGTATCCGCATATGGAATACTTTGCTGTCGTCACACGAGCAAATTTGTTGATAATTGACTCTCTATAAACCACATTCCAGTGAGAGGCACCAAACTCGAGACGAAATAAAAGCCTATCACGGCCTCTGAGTAACTAATGGCTAAGCTACTATTGCTGATACCAAAGATAACCGGCCCTGGATGAAGACAATTATACTTTGAAGCCTTCTTCGTTTTTGGTGCAGGTACGTCTGAACAAGAGAGGATTTATCCTCTCTTGGTCTGAATAAAACTTACATTCTGTTTTTCCTTCAAGCTTGAACAGCAGACAACGGTGTTCCTTTGCATTGTTTGGTAGAGTGCACGTAATTCCCAAGTTAACGATTCTTCCCGTCAACTTAACTGTCAAGGGATCATTTTCAGGCAAGTCTACCTAAAGGAACAAATTTTTAAGATAATTAAGTAACCGTGCAGATAGATAGAGTTTAGTGACCAGGATTCATATCCGTTCCATTCTATTAAGAATTCTGATCTATCTAGAAATTCAAAGGGGCCAGAGGGCAAATCGCTGTTGATGGAAATAAATATAGTGGCATAAGTGATGTTTATAGGTAGGATATCTAATACGTGTGCGATTCTACAATTGCTTTCATCTCCATTTAGTGAAAAACAACAGTCATTTTAGGAGGAACTACCCGCAATTTGCGTAAGCACAGTTAATCACAACGCAAATGAGATAGGAAAACAACCCAAGGTAAATTTTTAAAGAGTGTTTCCTCGAATTGCTTGCAAAAAATGCACAATTCCCTTTCGTTAAGCAGGATGTACTTTAACCTCTAGTTTTCCAGCTACGTTATTTAGGAAATACAGATAGGTGTACTGGCCGCATTTGAAATGAACGTGACATAAATTAACGCGAAAACAAAGAAGAAAACTACGTCCCAAAAAAAGAAGGACAAAGAACGGGGTAAATTAGAAAATAATAATAACAACTGGAATTTACTTGCGCACTGGGAAACTGTAAATTTCAAAAGCAAGGGCTTACACAGCAAAACTAAAAATATCATTCACACTTATTATGGTATAATTGGCACTGTTTTCTATGCAAACACAGGCATATGATGCAAACATAAGTTTCTATTTATAGTTTCCAATTAACTAGTCTTTGTTTTCATCGTTTGTTGTAGCTTTTTGCAAATCACTTGATTTGTAACCTAAGAGTATCTCCAACTCGATTTGTTGACTGGAATTCCCATAAATAAAAATTAAGATGATGTATGTTAATGATAAGACATGAAATACTTCGATATGAACTGAGTGGTTCAGGGGCACCCAACGTCAATTTTCGCAAAATATCTGTTCGGAAAAAGATTTGAGATGTTTAGTGGTTTTGAACTATATTCTCGTTGGGTGTCCCCGGTGGTTCAATACTGTAAGCACCCTTGCATATAATTGAAAGCTGTCCTCCTAAAATCTTTAATATCATGCGATCAACGAAAGTGACGAAATTTCCCAAAATATGGCCTAAATTGGCCCTTATAACTACGTGTCTGATTATTGGCTGGTAAATTGAGATATCGTTTTTAAAGAAAGAAGCTGATCTATAACGATACAGCTATTTAGTAAAGTCTTATTTGCACCTCAAGACTTAGCGGTTCATCTATATCTGATCTGGTTATATTAAACCGTTGTGTCGGGAGAAAGTTCATCGGTTTGCCTTGGCAATCTATGTACCAGGAGGAAGTCAAGTTAACCACGCAATCTTCATCCCCCCTCAATGACAGCTCTTTCTCGGAACCAGATTTCAGATACTTCATTTTCGATGCTGGCTCTTTATCCCTAAAAAACGTCTCCTGGGCACATCCTATGTAATAAATAGCAGATTTATGACAAAAACGTAATTAGACGTCACAAACTACATGATCAAATGCTATAAATGTAATGGCTACGCAGAGTGATAGTGAATATCATAACTGTTTATAGCTCCAAGCAACTAAGGTTGAATTGTATTTGTTTTAGGTTTATTTTCTTCCGTCGTAAACTAAGAAAATTTTAGAAGATGGCCTTTACACAATTATCAAGTTTTCACCATTAACATCCTTCAATAGACATAATCATTTCCGAGAAAACGCGGAAGAGTACATGAAGTTGGGAAGACTTTTGGAATTCGAAAATGATCCGATACCTTCAGATAAATAATAAATTAAAAAGCTTACCGAAAAGGTTTCTTGTTTCTGCATTTCCAATGCAAGTCCAGTTCAACTCCTTCCGGAAAGAAAAGGTCGAATCACAAACACATTCACAGTTCTTCCGACCATCTTTTTTTTTTGCCTTGTACAAAGCACTACAATCGTTTCGGCCGCATTCCGAGGATGGAATGGTGAAATAGTCTTTTGATGCTCTTCTGTCAATTTGAAAACTCTGTGACGAGCAAATTTCAGTCCATATAAGCAAACATACGGCAATAAATATTCCCTCAAATAACGCTGACATTTCGTTTCTGATCACAATACAAATGATGCCAAACTAGCATGATCTCTTGACTGGACTCTTCTCTGAAGCCAAACCACTGCATGCACACGGACTTTCGATCCTCTTACTCAAGAAACTATCACTTTCTAACAATCAATTTAGTTGGAGCCATTTAACGGGAAAATGAAGAGCTGTTGTTGCAAGGAGAACTTGTTCTTGAAGATCTTAGTGACTCACTTGATATTAGACCTAGGGTTTCAAGAAACATGCACCTTAATTTATCTCAATTAGAGACGGACGAGATATTTTTGTCCTTGTTGACGTCAGTCATAATACTTCATTTTGGTATTTCCCGTAAAAGGCACTTGTTTTTCTTTTTCTTTTTTCCCATGGTACCAAACAGCTGTTGAATAGTATTCTGTTTTTCATGCAACAGGAAACAGTGTATAATTGCGAGTCTTTAATGGTTGGAGATCTCATGTGAATACCATCCAAACAAAACCTACTGGAGAAATACATCAAGTCATTTGCCAATAAAGGACACATGTTCTGTTGTCTAACTGACGAACCTCTAAAAGGATGCTATAATAACGCGAAATGAAAATGAAACATCTTAGTCAGAGCTGTTCTGCTAAGATACTATTTAGTGTTCATTATTAATGTTAACGTTATATTGAACGATGTTTATTGAAGGGGTGGAGATTTAAGGCAAACGCATAATATTACCCGGCGATATGGGACTTTCGAAGTGAAATTAAGGCCTTGAACAAGAAGATTGCACGTGCATCGGAACGCTTTACTTTCTTTTGTTCTTCAGAGGTATAAGTCAGTATCTATTATCTGCATGCCAAGTCAAATATCACTAAGAATTTTAAGTAGCTGTCCATCTTTACACTTTAAATAGGCTAGCTCTATAACAAAAAGGTGTTGGCTTTTAAAAATGTGTTTGCGATTTCGGGCAAAGAGTGGAAAACAAGTAAAAACGTTTTTGTTAAAGTAAGAAAAGTTTTGCCGGGAGCATTAGAGATTTTAAATATAATCTTCGTGGTTTTTATCATGGCATAAAGCGTCCGTCGTTACGTAATATCTGTCCTAGGGCAAGTCGAATGAACTGAGAGAGTAACGAAACGCAAGTACCACTTGTGTCAGGTTTACCAAGGTTTCCGTCTAGAGGCGTTCGTTCAGAGATAGTCAACTGCTGAGTTAAGTGAAGTTATTCGATATATATATACATCAGTAGTAATTCCTTTAAGAAAAGGTAGCCCAAGCTCGAAATATGAGCATCGGCGAGCATCGGCATGGTTGCGTAACATTCAAAATGTAAGGATTTGTATGGGAAAAAAACTATCATTTCTGTAACCTACGAAAATGAAAGGATTTCAATAAAAAACAGCTTACCTTACTTAAAATGTGCGTTACGTCTCTCCTGTGTGGTTCACGGGCCGATTTATGGCCGTTTTATGGGGTTTTACGTAAACGGTTTTCTCTATTTCGTAGGTTACAGAAACGATAGGTTTTTTTTTCCTTAGAAATCCTAATATATTTTGAATGTTACGCAACAATTCCGATGCTCGCCGATGCTCATATTTCGAGCTTGGGCTACCTGTGCTTTAAGCTAGCGGATCTCTATTTTGCTTTATCACATTTCTTTGGACAGATAAACACTTCTCACCTTCAATAGGGCACTGCACATTCTTTAAGAAAAAACAACAAGAACAAATGAACTGTAAAATATATCTTTAAAGTTTCAAACAACAGAGGTTAATTTTCAAAAAGTGTAGGACTGAATAGCTCTTAAACATCACGATTGAAATTCCTTTTTACTGTCTTTCAATGTTGTCCGTCTCCGACCTTCTGCCTTGACTGTGCTATTTCAACCTTCCTTCAATGTTGGTCAAAGCTGTTATCCTAATGTTCCGTTTAATTAGACAGGCAAATGCCAGTGTCTAAATTACTATTTTAGGCTAAATTTCGTGACACAGCTTTTTGCAATTATCCGAAGCGATTCAATACAGCATATCAATTTGTTCAATTTACCTACAAACAAAACTGGCGTTTTTGTAAGGCTAAGGTTCCATTTTTCTTCCTCGCTCCGTTTCCTTATAATTTAGCAGTTAGAACAAATAACACGTTAAATTTATGGACGCGCATATTTTGCAGTTAAGATATGAACGAAAATCAAGGTGATTGATATCAGCTATTGCGATCATGTGACAGTTGAGCTGCGCGAGTAGGCTGGTGGTGATATTCAAATAAGAAACGGTGATCAAACACCTCATAGTTTTTGTTTTTTATTGTGATGTCTGACAATACAATTACAACAGCTGTCAATGAATAGCTGAGACTAACTGAAACACTTCGGTTTCGAGGAAACCAAAAAAAAATTTTTGTGGAGATGTTCCATAAAAAAAGAGCATCCAAGAGATGCAGCCAAGAGTTTCAGATAGGTCAATGTCCGAAAACATTATTGACGATATGTGAGAATTAGAATTGTGCCTCAAGACACAGAAAGGTGTCCGTTGCTCATTTAACCGTCGCCCTTGTCCCGCAAAATTAATGACATCTTTGTCGGAACAAACGAGCCTGTCCGTTGTATAAGGTGAGATAGAGCGGTGTTCAACTTTGTCACTGGAAACCTTTCGGAACCCATTCAGGTCGATGTGTTACATTCATAAAGTTTACGCATGATCTCAATATGACAAATCCACTCGTTATTCCTGCTAAGTTATCTCATGATAAGTAACGGCACTCAAAACAGATCTCTAAGAGTCATTCCCAATTCTAGGCCGCGGTTCCAGACCAGAGTATTAAGGCAATACCTTGATACAATTTCCAGACCATACATGACATGTATATCTGAGCTTATCTGATTTCAGCCTTCCAACTGTTGATTCATACCCTATTTGAGTCAAGCCAAAGGGAATTATAAAAAATTACCCTTTGGACATACGTGAAAAGCAGATATCAATTAAAGGGGCCGACCCTAAAACCACTTGTTGTAATTTGTCCCTGGCTAGTTCTTTGATGAAGACAGAGCGAGTAAAAGTCAAACCTGTTTTGAACTTCTTGCACGGGTTAGCACAACTTTGTTGGAAGGCATGAAAACTATTTATATATAAAGGCTTCCTATTTTATTCAGTTTATTAAAAATATCTTTTCTTTATTTACTTATCTTCTTCTAAGAATGTCTTAACTTAATATTTCTCCTTTCTGTAGGCATTTCCGCTCCAAATTAACCAAACAAAAACTGGGGGTCGGTTTAACCCTTGGAACGAAGCGACCATTTGCGTCATCAATATTGATCAGTTACCTTCGAAAAATCATAGGAAAGGTCAACTACTTCAGAGAAATTTCTAAACATAAATACAAATGAAGATCAAAGTCATCTAAAAGTGCAAGGATAACAATATTTTGAAATTATGCACTTTGATAGCATTAAGGGCCGATAGTTTTCATTTTTATCATAGTTTCACTCTGGCATTTAGACCGAAACAATAAAACAAACTTCGCCACTATAATAATAATAATAATAATAATAATAATAATAATAATAATAATAATAATAATAATAATAAATACAAGATTAGGAAAAAAGAACAATAACAACAAAACCAATATTAATAATAATGATAATAAACAGAATACCTCTCCTAATTGTGTAGAAAGTGTGGAAGCCATGATGAAACTATGCAGAATATTTTGTGTAGTTGTTTCAAAATTGTCCAATAAAAATGTAAGATGAATCATTTTTAATGACACATTTGATCGAGTGGTTTGGTTCTCTTAGAACCTCACGACTGCTAGGTTGCCACCTTTTATATTTTAATAAACACTGGGTTAATAAAATGGTTAAAAGTACATGCGACTTTCGTTGGGGAATGAGAGACACATTGCATTTCTTCAAATGCGGAAACGTTGGAATTTCTTCTTACAGCATTATGATAAACAACAACACAGAGAAATTCTTCAGCAATATAAGCATGCAAAATAAAGCTCTTTTATTCGGCGGAAGTGCGAACAACCTGGAAGCACCTAGAGTTGGCTCGTCCTTTCTTTTCTTCCTTTATTTCCTTTTATTAGAAGGACATTATTCTCAGACGGTCATTTTTACTGTCGGTCCCGCAGTCGTCTGTCTTAGAGAGAGTTGTATGTAGGTTGAGTTTCAGATCTGTAAAAGGAGTGTGGTGCTATTTAATTTCATTTACAAGTTGGTTTGTTGAAAGAATGTTTTGGTCCTAACTCCTCGGTGTGACCATTCATACAAAAGCTGCTACTATGTACTGCAGAGTTTCTATGTGTTGCTGCCACCTATATTTTAATAAACTCTGAGTTCCAAAAAATGGTTAAAAGTACACGTGACTTTCATTTCAGTCAATTTCTGCAACCCTCAGAGCAAAACAATGCCGCTGTATTACAGTCAAAAGATACCCCTAGTTAACTCAATAACATCGTTGCCTTGAATTTGTGAGTTTGACTCAGAATGTATTTGATAACGTTTGCTACAATCACAATACAATAATCATCTGATAAGCAAGTTAGCAAGCAGATTTAGCAACAACAACGCGACGTCAAATTAGATCGCGAAAAGCTCGCGAAATGGGCTGAGCGCGACTTCCGGTTCACAATTTGCCGCTCTACCATTGGCCAAGTCGGTAATCAGATCTGCGCGCGCCGTCGGCCTCTTTTGTCACGTGGTGTTTGCTGTCAAATAGTCTAGTGAGAACGTCTGAATCGCTATAAATAAAAGCCGCACTTTTTTACCTTACCGGATTCTTGTTTAAGAGCCTTGATTTGAGAACATGTCAGATAAAAGACAAACTATCCGCCGAATACAATGAACATGTTATAATGGTGGACCCCAGCATTACTCTCTATTTCAGTTTTTTCTCGAGAGATGATAAATAGAAAACCTTGGCATCTTCATGATCTCCCTAGACTCCCACGAAGCCCTCTTTGTCTCTGAAGAGAGTTAGCTTATAGGTGACGGGACAAAAACGGCTGTGTAGGAGACTATGGTCACCATTGATGGAGGTAACAATGCATTTACACTAAGGGTATCCCTGTGAATAACTAGTATCCAGTGCCCATCTCGAGAGTTACAAGGTGGAAATGATGTTGAGTGCTTCTAAAGGAATTTTAAAGTCAACGGTTGTTCACGGTATATGAATTATGATATGTATTATGATATGCAAATGACGTTTTTAGGTTTTACATTTATTGTTTACATTTAATGTGTTAGATTTTAGATCTTACCTTTTCATCCTTTATTTTGGGGATCTTTCATATAGGGTTAACCTCTAGATATCCCGGCCCATCCCATCCTCGAAGACCGAGGGGCAGATAGCGGGGGCGAGGGAAAGGATGGACATCCCCTTTCGAGGTATATTTTTATCTCTTGAATGAAATATTGTATTGTATCGATATTCAGAAGGTTTCCAATAAATTCCGGTTCGAAAGTACTTGGAACACGGCTCTTCGGTAATGCCAAAGGAGCATTTCCTGGAGAAACGGGACTTTTGAAAATGGTCCCTGCCGACGTTCCAAACGGAAAGCTACCTTTTATTTCTTCACTATGCCTCATTTTTGATACCAGTTCTCGCGGCCATATTTTTGCTTTGCTTGACATTTGTGTATTATAAATGTTGAATACCAGTTTCAAAATTTTGCATACCATTTATATAAGCAATGACTAAGCAACTACTGTTTCCTTGTAAATGCTAAACAATTATGGTCTGACAGAAAGGGTTGCCTGTGTTTCAACTAACTATTTCCTTGTTGCTCAAAGTTTGATATACCTGTGTTATTGTGACTGATTTTCTGAGGTGTTGTGAGATTGAACAAGACGGGAAAAAAATCCAGTCTTGTTCTGCAAAAGCACCTCAGGCTTATCAAACTCCACCAATCGACCTTGATCCATAACTATCACTTTGTCATAGTCCATAATGGTGTTCAAGCGATGAGCGATAGTTAATACCGTGGATTCTTTGAATCTGTTACGGATAACATTTTGAATCAGATGATCTGTCTTGTAATCCACGTTAGCAGTTGCTTCATCCAGTATAATGATCTTGCTTTTCTGTAACAGCGCACGCGCTAAACAGAGCAACTGACGCTCACCAACACTGAAGTTGCTCCCAGACTCCTTCAACTTAAACTCCAAGTGACCCGGTAATTGTTGTACCAAGGTCTTCAACTGAACTTCTTCCAAAGCCATCCACACATCATGGTCGTCATACAAAGAAAAAGGATCAAGGTTCACCCTCAGGCTACCGCTAAAAAGGACAGGGTCCTGAGTTATAACAGCCATGGACCTACGCGCCGCCTGTAGATTAAGATCCCGGATGTTCACGTCATCTATGACCACCTGTGACAATGAAAAGATAGAATTCAGCCAGATTTTGACAGATTTGAATTGATAAATGTAAAGGAGATTATTGCAGTTGAATGTATAAGAAATTCCGATAGTTGAATAATTAGTATAGGTAATAGCATGATTTATAGTGATATTTGGCGTAAATACCACGAGTGATATTTCGAAATTGTTATACGTAATTTCACGAGCCGTTAGGCAAGTGAAATTTGAGACAATCGTGATATCGAGAGTGGTATTTATGCCAAATATCACGTACGAATCCTGCTATTATTTGCTTATACTACTATCCACGGAAGGTTTGTAATTTTCACATGTCGCTATTTCAAATTAAGCTGAAATATCACTGCTCCAAGCCAATCAAATTGCAGAAATTTCTCATGTAGTAGTATAATAAATGTTATTCAATTTTACAGTAGAACCTCCACTAGCAGGCCATCTTTCCATAACGACCACTTCTCTAGAACGGTACCTTTTTTTGGCGGACAATCCCTACATTTACTCTTGTTTGAACCTTGATATAAGGGCCACTTTCTTTTTGGCCTTTGTGGAGAGGTTCTGTTTTCTTCATCATTTCTGATTTCAAATGCTGCTTCAATATTAATAATTTACAGTCAAGTAGCCAACTACATTTTTTCATTTGCTGTTCATCCGGCGAATTAGTCGGATTGTCGTTTATGGGACCTTGCAGACGAACACCTTTTGACCATCACAGGGCAATGTCAATCATCGACAAGCGGTGAAATAAATAGCGGTGTCTTTAGTTAAAGGGGCTTCTTTTACTAAGGGAAAATAAACATCGGAATGGGAAATTACTCCAAAAGAAAGAAATAGTTCTTACGCTGCCTTTAGGCTGTGGAAGGCGAAATAAAGCAGCGACTAAAGACGATTTTCCTGCGCCCGTGCGGCCTACTACACCAACTTTTTCTTTAGCAGCGACAGTGATGTTTATGTTATTCAACGTTGCAGGAGCTCCTTTCAAATAAGCCAATGATAAGTCACATAATTTTAAATTGCCTTCGGTTGGCCACGTTTCAGGAGGTTGGGTGTCGGTGTTGTAACCAGGCTCAGGATCAATTTGGGTGTAGGTGAACACCCTTTCTACTGAGGTCATGTGATTTTCTGTTTCCGCTGCCATTTGAATGCCAAACTGCATGCTATCCAATGTCTCGGCTGCAAAGGCCAGCGAAAGGCCTGCCAAAGCTACAACAGAAAGTATCGACAATTTAAAAAGTGAAGTCCATTTCCCTGAGTTAAACAAAAATAATAATAAATAAAATTTAGACAAGTGCTTTAACGCCAAAAAGTCCTAATGCCTTTTGTTATGCAAAACATCCATCCATATGACATCCATAGCTATGACAGGTTTCAGCTGGTCAGTAATACCTATGTTATTTTTGGTAACTTCAGGGGTTCATTCATGGAAGGAGATCCCCAGTTCAATTGAGAATTCGAGCATGTGCTGCTTTTAACGTACTTTGTATTTGACTAAACATTTAATTGAACACATTCAAATTACTCTATTTTAATTACCATGTTTGGTTACATTTTAGACAGAGGATACTCACTGGTGTCTTTCACATTGATCATGCAAACTCAGTTTTAAATGCGTACACGAAGATCTTACCACACACGCTTCCTTAATCTTAAGTATGGCAACACCCACCTGGACTCTGCGACGCAAGGAGAGCTCCAACTGATACAGCAGTAACAAGAAATGTGGTTAACATATCTCCTCGAAAAGAAAGCCATCGTTTTGAGGCCATTAACATTATCAAGGCTGATGTGTTCTTATCCTGGTACCTAAAGGAAGAGCCAGAGGTCATTTACAGTTGACTCTCTTAACTGATACCTCTATAAAAGACGGACACGAAGAGTTAGTCCCTGCCCTTCTCTCCAAATAAAGGTCCCAAATGTATCCGTCTTGGGGAGAGTTGGATGATTTATGTTTCGGATCGTTTCAGAATCTCAACTTTTATTTCCCTGCTGTATACCTTAACAGTCCACTCTCTCTAAGACGGACACTTTTGGTACAAGCATCAAGTGTCCTTTATGGAGTAATGTCAATCTTATAGAGAGTAAAATAAAGGGAGTGAAGAAAGACAGAAGCCAATGCTATGTGTCCCTTATACCGAACTATCTGTCTTATATAGAGGTGTACGTTAAGAGGAAGTCGACTACATATAGCTCAAGAACTTTACTATTATTTTGCGGACGAACGACAAGAATAAGTAAGAAGTATCCGTCTTTTTACCAGTCTCATGTTTAGGCTGGCATAAAAACAAATGGCTTTCAAAGTTTTATCTTGCAACTCAAAAATCCTCGTCCTCTAAATCCTGTGGTAATAAACCTAGGTCCAGCCCTTGCCCCTTCCGTTAAGTTTACTTCCGTTTCGTTTTCCGGAACTGTGACACAATGTTTCGGTATTGCTTTCAACCGTTAAACACAATGCAACCAACATAAAGGCACAGATCACCTAAATCATGTAGTACAGATCTTTGGCCTTCACTATATAAGCAAATCAGCCGATCTGTTCATTGCTTGGTATGTTTACTTTAGGGTTAACTAAAACGCATTATTTATTTATCATCATTATCATTATTAAAGTTTTTTAGCTCAATTTTGACCAAAAGATGTGATGCAAACCTAGACATGGTCTATTTTGGAGAGAACGCAGAAATGCTTATAGCTATTACTGACCGATAAAACTTTTTCAGGAAATCATCTTCCATTTCTGAGGAGCGAATCACTTCCAGACCTGCCACAGTATCAGCAAGAAGTGAATACACTGGACTGTTTGTAATCGCCTCCAGCCTCCTGATCTCTCGTGATGACTTCAGATAATATTTTGTAAGGTAAACAAAGCAAATTATCAAAGGAGTGCAAACTAAAAACAACCACACATTTGTTGCTGCTGAGAGACAAGTGGCGCTGAAAAAAAGCTGACATAACTGGACTGCGAAGAGAAATTGTCCTGGAAGGAAATCGTCCATATTCCTGATGTCTTTGGAGAAACGATTTAAGATGCGGCCAGTGGGGTTGGTGTCAAAAAACAAGACCGGCGCCCTCAGTACTGCTTTGGTCATCTCATTGTGAAGGTTTTCCGATGACCTTAGGGCAGCCAGATAGAAGCAGTATGATGAGACCACTGTAAGAAGCAGAGAAAGAGCTGTAATGGATCCGTAGACAAGAAGCGTGACATATTTTTTCTGCTCTTCATCAGTCATCTCCGTCATTCGTGAAATCCACCAATAGGGCAAGACCCAAGACACTAGAAAAAAAAACATGTTTTTTATTTGTTATATCTCTGATCAAGGCATCAGCTCAGAAGTCATATCTATAGATTGAAAGGCAAAAGCAAATACTTCCATTTGGAGACCTACCATATGATTCTAACATGGTTTTCCTCTTTTTTAAGCTTTTTTCAAAGTTAATGTTGAATTTATCTTGATTTTCTATGTGAGTTTGTTCACCGGTGTAAGTTAAATGTACAGCAATGTTTATATCTCAGCGGTTAAAAATTGTTGTCCATCGCGTAAGGATTTTGATGACATGATTTTAACCACTATTACTCTATGAAGGAAGGAGGCTACAATACTCGTCAAAAATCTTTTAAAACTTGTGTGTTTCCTCTTCCCCAGTGTTGGTTTGGGTATTACAGTCCTCTCAGTGCTCCAAAATACGCGTGGCTGAAACACTGGGGAAGGAGAGGGGCACATCTGAGTGAGAACAAAGGTGTGAAGAGTGAATGTAGACTTTTTGGAGAAAATTCAAGAGAAACGGTTTCTGTTTCAACGATTTGTGACGAGTATCGTTACAGAGTTTCTAAGCTGCATGAACTTAAACCGAACAGATACCTTGGACGACAACGAAGAAGGCAGCGAGGCTGACAATCAAACCCGCTGGAAGCGCTGCTCGAAAATACTTCCAGTAGACTAGCGCCTTGACAGTACCGACCATTCTGTCCTCATCCTCTTCCTTCAGATCCACTCTTTCTTTACGTTTATCTATAGCAGTCACAGCACGGACAGTTTCATATCCAGGAGGGACCTTCATGATATCCCTCACGTCGGTATCAAGCCTTTCCTGAGTCAAATATGTAAAATTTCCTTGTCGATCTTTGTCCATTTGGCTCAATGTGCCTTGATACACAACGGAGCCGTTTTCAAGCATAAGAACTTTGTCTGCCTGTTGGAGAAATTGTAAATGATGGGTGACCAAAATACGCACTCGTCCAGCTAAGAACTCTTTTATACATCGATTGAATAAATGTTTGGCGACTTTCGCGTCCACCGCGCTAAGTGGGTCATCCAATAAGTAGATATCCGCATCTGAATAGATTGCTCGCGCCAGACTAACCCGTGCACGCTGACCGCCACTTAGAATTATCCCACGCTGTCCAATTTCAGTTAGGTCGTTTTTTGGAAAGCTCGTTAGATCTTTTTTCATGTCGCAGACTTCAACAATCGCATTGTACTTTTCTTCACAGAAAGGCATTCCAAAAACTATATTTTCGCGTACGGTCCCAGAGTACACCCAAGGCGTCTGGGAGACGTAAGCCATTTTTCCAGTGCAAGAGATATGGCCAGACGATATCGGAAGTTCTCCCAGGATGCTCATCAACAAAGATGTTTTACCACTTCCAATTGGTCCAGTAATTCCCACAAGTTGCCCACAAGTAGCGGACATTGATACATCTTGGAAAGCTGCACGATCCGACGAAAAGTTCCAAAAGCTGGAGACGTTTGCTAGAACGGCTTGGGCTTGAATTTTGTGATTTTTCTCGCGTTTTCGAGCACTTATCAAAACCGGTTTTCCTGGTCTAAAGCTCTCAGTTCTAATAAATTGTGGTTTGTATTGTCTGCCTTTGCAGTAAACCTCCAAAGGAAGCAGGGTATGCACATCTCCTACGTTGACCTTCAAAGGAGCTTTCTTTTCAATTAACCTCTGTAATCTGTCACATGAATTTTTTGCATCTGCAAGATTGCGTAAGCAGTCTCCAATTAATATTGTTACGTACAGTTTGAGGTTGCTTAGGATATTAAGTAACGTGAACACATTAAAAGACGTGAGAGAATGTCCTGAAAGAACAAGTGCCATGACTGAGATAAATCCCGCTACAGTACCGCTGGTGAAGAACGACGCATAGATACTTGAGATGATGAATCCTCTGGCACGGATCAAACTGATTTCTTTCCTAAAAACATTATTAGAAAATTCAAGCTCCGGACCCGGTTGTTTAAATGTTGGATAGCGCTATCCACCAGATAAATTTTAGCCTAAGAAACCAACCTAAATTTCGCGACACCAACACTAGTTTTCCCGCGAAATGATGAAGCACTACCCAAATCAAGCAAATCAGAAGCACTGCCCAGATCTAGGTACACTGTAGAAGACACTTCATCAGTATAGAATTTCTGCAATCGTTTCTCAGACGTCATTTCGCGGGGAAACCAATGGTGGTGTATGGTATTAGGGGAAGCAATTACGTTATGCACTGGATAGAGATTTATCCAGTTGATAGCTTTATCTACCAGTTGAACAACTGGGGCCTGATTTTCATGTAAAGCAATTTAACTCCTAGGTCAAGATTAAGAAACAGCATGCCCCGAAAAAAAATTCTTCTCGAATCTAAAGATTTAGAAAACTATTTAAAACATGCATTTGAAAAAAGAAAGTCAGACCTTTGACCACACGCCAAATTGTGACACATTATCTGTTCGGTGCTAGTCTTTCCGCTTAGTGTATATTCATATGATTCAGAACCGCTAAGATGGCTCAGATGAGAATAAGCTTATTTGTTTTTACTTTTTGATACTAACTGGGGGATAATTACTTATACCTTTCATTTGCTGAGCTTTTAAAGGAATGAATAATGCCTGAGTAACAACACCGTATTGGTAACGTTTGGGAAATTAGAATAAGATAACCGTAGTGAAAATTCGGCTCAAACCTTCTAATTTGGGCAATCAGATCTCTAAAGTTCCATTCCCAAGTGTACATCTTTACAACCCGGATTCCAGTCACAATTTCCTTTATAACCGTGAGTCGTTTATCGGTTTGTGCAGCTGCCTTGTTGCGAATCTTTCCAGCCTTGCTAGCTGCAATGGAATTGTACACGGAGACCAACAGAAAGATAGAAGCTCCTATCATCGCTTGCCAGGCGACTAAATACCACATCAGAGCCAGCGCGCAAAGAATATCCAGGGGAACCAAGGTAAAAATAAAGTTATAATATAGCGATCTTTCAATGGCTTGAGCATCATTAGAAACCAGGTTGATCGTATTCTCAGAAATAGAATCTTCTAAAATGCATCTGTTAAGACTGAGAATCTGAAATCAGAAATGATAAAGAAAACTCAGTGTAACGTTTCCTTAAAATTTTATGTACAGGCAGGCAGAGTATTTCGAGTAGATTTACGCTATTTGACAAAAAAAACAAGTAGAAAATGAGGCTTAGTGTGATATGAAAAATACGTATAGATCGAGAAATCTACATAATTCTTTATGTTGCTGTTTTTATTGGGGCAATATACTTTCTAAATCAAGTTGGTTGTGTAGTATAATTACTAATAGGTGATTATACTGAGATTCATGCGATCTGATTGTCAAGGGTTGCGTCACAAAGTTTACAGTGCGGACAATCAAACCGGGACACTAGGGAGAAGATTTTCCAATCACAACGTGTTCTAAAAACAGAAGATTCTAAAGATTATTTGAAAACGGACCAATAATATTCTTTCAGGTTCAAACGGTTGAGAGAAAAAGAACTTGAGAACTTTTTGGTTTCAGTAAACGTTACGTACCTTCGATTTCGCACTAAAATAATGTTATGGGGTATGTTGTTATGTTTTCATACCCTTTTATACACGAGACTAATCACTGCTGTTTTCAGTGAGCGTCCCCAATATTAGGTTTTCCGCGATCTGGGATTTCCCTTATTTGAAGCTCGGGATTCGGGAAATCCAAGCTAGACTCGGGATAAAAAATATCAAGGGAGGTGGGATGGCAAAGATAACCATTGGGATTACGAGATTGTACAAAATATTGGGTGGGGATTACGGGATGGAATTACCCTTAAGTAGTGGTACGGCTTATTACGGCTTTTTATGTTATGTTTACTTCTCTTACTTACCCTTTTATACACGAGACTAATCACCGCGGCTTTAAGTCTTATGCCTACTACATCCGCCTTCATTAGTCCTTGATTCACCAGAACAGTTCTTACCATGGAGGTCAGAAGTAGACACAAAACAAATGGTAACGTGGAAGCGTAACTGTTTTGAGAAGGCGTTGCAATGCTTTTTAAAAACAGCCACAAGACCCAGGGAAAGATGTTCACTGTTATTGACCACAATATCCTCAGTACTCCCATGACAATTATATCCTTGGAGGGGATGATCCTAATCAGGACCCTCCAAAGACTAGGCTTTGTTCTGCGTAGTTCACACTTTCTAACTTCAGCCATCCATTCAATTTCTAAGGCTTTCACAAGGCCCTCCGCTTCCGAAGCTGTTTCTGTCGGATGGAGGTGCTTTTCATCTAGTGGAATTTTGCTGCCTAGCTTTAGGACATTGTCCATCCAAGAGATTGTTAGAAGTGACAAAAAACCTGCTGTCTCTCTGGGATTTTGTACAGAGGCCTCTGCCATTGGCCCTTCCATTTTTTGGCTGAGCACCTTAAATAGGAAGAAACAGTGAGAGGGGCGATGAGCCTGAGCAGGAAAAGTTGAACTTATTCTCAGTGGCGACCTAGTCCCAGCCCAATAATGGCCAATGGGGATCCACTATAGTGTACGTGCAGTGTCACTGCAATGCTTTCACCACCGCCTGGTTCAGGCTCAGTTGGGAGAGCCTAGTCTAGGGTTAAATACATTGTGCCGGCATAATTTGGGGCCTAATAGTTGGAGCATTGAGTATAATGCAGGCATTATAAAAAAATAATTTAAAAAATTCAGTAATACTTCCGTAAATATAAATATGAGACATTTTGACTTTTAAGTGATTTTAGTAAGAAATTAACTTAGTTCAAAGGTTTAGTTGCTACTTTCAAGGTCTCGTTGAGCCATCAACCAGGCTGCAAACTGATCAGAAAGTAATCTAAAGATAGAGAGCTCCATTGAAAGAAGGCATTTTGAGTGCTTTTGAGAATTATTTGTCCTATCATTTCTTGTAAATTTGTAATTGATTCAATACTGTTTGCGTTTCAGGCTTATGGAGGTATTATTCAGTTGTCTGCAGGTATGGAAAGGGCATCAAAATTAATATAGCCAAGATCAGTCGAGCAGAATGCTACTCTTCGAGCACAATTTTAAACATAATGCTGTTGTTTTGATGATGTGCTCAAAATTTTGAGCATAATGTATCTAATCCTACGCCTTTCTAGTCTTCTCGGATAAGTACAAAAAAAACCGTAAGTCCCGTCTCACAGCACTTTCACCTATCTGGTTCTTGCGGGAAGTAAGAGAACCCACACCACTGTTCGCAAAGGGTAGGGGACGACCTAGGCCTACTTTTCCTCATGGGCTGGGTGCGTTATCTGTAAGGAGAGATTTTGAGCTATAAACTCGTGATCCTCCTTCAAGTGTTCTAATGGCTACCCGTAAACAGTGTATGTGTGTGAGTGAATGTTATTTCAAAAAACAATGACTTTTTAAGAGTTTTTTAACAGCGCATTTTAAACATTTTTGCATGTTTCTCCGATTTCTAAGAGCACAGACTATGGAAATTTTTATTAGTCAGTGGTGGTAATGCGAGTACGTGACGACTAATTCGGCCAATAACATGCAATAAACTTAAGACTTAGTCAAGCATATATTTCTAATTGTCTCCTTCTTCACAATAACGGAGCATGCAACTGTGCAACCACAGTCCTACAGAGCGGCTGACTGTTATTGTTCAAGATTTATTGAAATGAATAATTACTAGAAACATTTCCCTACTCAAAGTTCTCACAACTTATCGATAACTTTCAAAAAGTTAAACCAAAACGAGCTGTTTATTGCTGATAGTCATGTTCATTGGCAAATGATCGCTTGGGCAAACTATGCCGGGGACCTAAGCAAGCTGTGTTTGCGTGTGGTAGCCATCAAAGCGTGGAGAGCAACCAAAAACAAATTTCAGGGTTCATGGTCAGTTCATTTAGGACTCAAATTACACTGATTTATACGTGTCTTGTACGGTGCTGAATTCTTGACTATAGTTTTCAAGAAACTTTCCAGGGTGCTTTTAGTAGTTTGCGGTAAAAAAATCAAGACAAACTGAAAATATTTGACCTTCAAAATGATGCCTGTAATCGTCTTGTTAGTACCTTGTCAGTACGTGTTCATGTTCAGTTTCGGCAAGGGGTCGCAGCACCAGTTTGCACTCAGTTCCCTTGAAATACGAACAGTTCCCTTGGGGTGTTCCAATGAACGTGAAAGAGAGTGATACTGGATCAAAATTATCATATCCTATTTTTTCTAAATGTTATAATTATCACTGATTCTGTTGTATGCAATAACAACATATTCGTTGCACTAGAGATCAGTAATAAATCTTGCTTTCCTAAATGCAATAAACACAATATAAATATTGTTACCGGAAGGCTTTTCATCTTCTCTGGCGAATCCCAAGACTCAGAGCAATAATTTCAAACAATGGCCGTTTTTATACTAAGGACGCATCATCCGTCTAGATGAACTTGGGCAAACATTAACTTTGTAGTTCTTCTGGTTATGCGTCCCAAGTAAAAAGACGGGCACAAGACGCATTATGCATCTGGAACAACTTTTCTTCGAAATGCGTCTTGAACGACGCACTACGTAAGGTAGTTCTTGTAGACGGATAATACCTCTTGTGCCTGCCTTTTTACCAGAGACGCGTAGCCAGACGAACTACAAAATGTTTGCCCAAGTTTACCCGGACGGATAATGAGTAATACATAACAACATTTTTGTTACCTAACCTCATTTTGCATCGCTGATGAAGTTAGACTCTAGCGATTCAAACGAAATATTCCGTCGCATTGACGGCGGTAAGGCGTTTAGTGGACAACGTCTAATGAAAATTCTTAGCTATAACTAAATAACCTAGTTTTCTATTACAGCGGCTTACCGTTGGATTTACCAGAAAACCGGCTTCTGGAACTGAAATGACCTGTCGACTCAAGCCGTAATAGTGTACACGGGTTGCATAAGTGTAGTCAAAGGAGCCATTCCAAGCCAATTCAAAATTATACAGAACCAATGCATTAGCAAAACAAAAAAGACAAACAGAATTATGTTTAAACTTAACCAACCGTAAATAAGTTAGTCTGTGCCAGGCCCTCAGATTGTGTAGTGGGAATGGGGACGTAATAAAACGAGCAGAGCGAAAATAAGACGCGTGCGGCTTGGGAAAGGGCGCGTTTTTCGCATTTCTTTTTACTGAACGACTTTTCATCACTGTCTCAGAGCCCGGAACAGGCTATAAATAAGTTCGAGCAGTAGAGAAAAAAAAAAGAGAAAAAACACTTCCGTAGTTCGAAATACTTTGAGATTCTGAAGGAAATCCTGAGCTGTAAATGTAACTCAAACAACATCTCGGGTGATGCGTATGTTATTTAACATGGAACTTTTTTTTCTGCCCAATTCATTTTAGTCATTTACGAGTCTATTAATGAATTTGTTATCAGGAAGTTGTATCTGTTGGTAGTTGTAGAATTCACAAGCGAGGCAGTTGTGAAATTTCTACCAGCTCAGTCTTCTTGAATTTGATGTAATGTCTTCAGAGCCATCCATTCAAAGCTTTTTCAAAAAATTCACTGCTCTGCAGATTCGAATTTGAGACTGGTTAAAGCAAAGACCAACGGATTCATTTTTCAATTCATTAATATAATCTAGGAGGTACGCATGACCTGACTCGACTTAGACTTACCACAAGTCGCCCTCACTAGTTTCTACTCGAGCGACGAAGTCGCTAGAGCTGAGGTCCCGAGCCATATTAAAGTCAACGAAGGACTTTTTTGAAAGTCTAGACTCTAGTGTAAGGGCTCTTCCAATTATGTTAAACTTTTCGGAAATTTCGGTCGAGAAAAAGGATAAAATACTTTGGTTCAGGCTTAAAAATATCCGGTTAAAGCTAGTGGTCTACCTCCAGAGGTGGTCCTCTTTGACCAGCTGCACCGAAACGTGCCCTTGGATTCCCAAAAATTCGCGTTTCCAGTCCTACTTTACTAAGCAGTAATCAAAATTTGGGTGATGCTCGATATACCAAGTCAATATATGCACTATTGTCTAGTTCTATTGTGTGAAGTCCATTGTCTTATTGTGTAAGTGCTAGGGATCATTGTTGTATTCTTTGTGACGTAACTCGAGACTTGCCATTCACTTGGTATAACGTGCACCAGCCCAAAATTTTGGTCGAAACGTACGTGATTTGTGCCCAATCAGGAGTCAGCATTCGCTTAACCGTTTGGAAATGGTCTGCTTGAGAGTCGGTACCCAGGGGCTCTTTCGCCCGTGCTGGGAAACGTTCGTCGCGCCTTTCATCCCGGCCCGACTGACTGCCCTTGGGTCTTGGAGGATGGTGTTATTAATGTGCTTATACTCTTGATTGGTCCATTGGTGAGATACCTCGCACTAGTGTTGAGCCAGTCTAGGCCAAACATTTTTATGTAATTTTTTTTTCCTAACTAAATTGCAGCAAAGAAAAAGAGAAAATAGAAGGCAGCAGGAGGAAGCTGCCGAGTTGTAAGGTGAGCAACAGACAACTGCAACTGGCATTAAGTAAAGCAATTTTTTGTAATCACTTTATTTATTATTGCTGCTAAGAGTACCCATCTTGTTAGCATCTGAAATCAGCCTTTATCAATGAAGATTTATTGTGTCTGTATGTACATAAACGAAGGAACTCGGCCGCACTATTTCCTTACTTAGAATGACTTTGTATTCATAGGTAATGAAAATCTTGTCTTTCAATGATAATGATGATGATGATGATGATGTTGAGGACAATTCATTTTCCTCCCTTCACTTTAATTTAGCCAAACCATATACGAGTGAATGAAAAGAGAATGCTCTCTTCTTCCCTCTCCACCTACTTGCCCTTAACCTCTGTCAGTTTCGAAAAGCCACTACCAACACGGGCTGGGGTGAACGGGATCCCGTCATAGACAAGCTTTTTTATCGTATGACTAGAGTGTCATCTTAAAAAATGCTTGCAGTTTCTCTTGGGGACTAAATTTGTTCTCTGAAGACGCCACATCGTTAAAACACTTAGCGTTTTCTATAGATTCTGTATTCCTTTTTTGAGGACGAGTTCCCTGGCTCAGCTGAGCCAACGCATTAAAATGTTCCTTAACAGCGTTCACGTGACCACGCTGGATATTCTCACTGTCTCTTTTCTCTGTCTCTGCCGTATCGCCCAGCAGTACTGAAGGAGATATGGAGATCTCCTGAAAAGGATCATTCGTTCCACGCGTTTCTATCTCTAAATCTTCAACGAAAACATCTTTTAATCTGTATCGGGCTTTCCGTTCCATATTTGGAAGGTCATCCACGTTAGTTGATGAATGGTGGCCCACACTGGTGCCTATCAGTCTTTCCTGTCTCGGCCCGTTAAAGAAAGGCACAGGCTCAGATTTCTGCGTTTCTGAATATCGTTCAGTATCTGAAAGGACTTCTGTGATGCACGGTAAATCTCCGCTCATGCTGGGTGCTTTTAGAAAGGCTTGGTCCGTGCATTTGTTAGAAGGTCCTTGGCCAGGCTGCCCAGGCACTGAATATCGTGATGCATATAATACTGAATCGATGAAAGAGAGAGGAAAACAACATTCAGCTGGATCTTGCACAACAAATTAAAGAAAAAAATATTTCATTGATAAAATAAAGGAATGTATTAACGTAATGGATGGATGGACGGACGGACGCACGAACGCACGGATGCACCGGGGAAGGAAAGAGGGATGGATGGATGAATGAATGGATGGATGGATGGATGGGGAACGAGTGGGATGTATATGAGGCCAATTTCTTCCTTTATCTCGCCTTTTCAGGCTGCCGAGATAGCAGAGAATAATTTCCGTCCAATAATGAGTTATGACCGAATAACAGACTGACTTTATGTAATTGCATTTACAAATGTTGTTTCAATTGTATAAATTGTCTTACCGCTTTCTGCGCTTTTTCCTATAAGGCTCTGATATATATTGGATGTAGTTTCCGGTGATGATGCCACACCTGAGCCGGTTAAACTGGTTAAGCTGGTATCATTGCCACTTTTAACAGGCAAAGGCGCGAAGGGCTCAGCGTAGATAATCTCATTGTCATTTGTTTGCCTGGTAACGTGCGAAAAATCTTGGAGAACGAGGTTTCCTTCTCTTTGATAGTTTGGATTTGTCACTGTGTAAACAAATAAAAGACTTTGACTTAATGGTAAGTATAACCAGGGCCCTTAAGTTAAATGAAACGCATATGATATATTCCGTTGATAACGATTCTCTTTCATACAAAAAACTGAAAAACTGTCACTAATCCACCTTTTTGGTGCCGAGTCCAGAGTTTCCACAAATTTCCCTTGTTTATAAGAAAGTGCAATAGCTTTTTGAGACCTTTTTTCGCGAGGAAAAATTCGATTCTTTACTGAAAGTCGTTGAAAGTGCTGAAAGTATTTGAGCATTCAAAATATGAATTTATTCACCACCCCGATCATTAAAAGAACAGATTTCCAGCGCCTAGTCTGCGAGCAAGTTCTCTCAGGATTTATAGGAGAGGGGAACACACCATGACCCCCCGGAAAAACTTGTTCGCAGGTTATCGCCCGGTGATGGTCTTTCACTACGAACTAATTTATTATGTGTCACGAAGTGGTTCACACTTCAAGCGCTCCAGCATGTTAGTCGTTGTTTGGATTAAAACAAATAAATAACGATTAAGATGAAGCGCAAAAACTAAGTGATTCTTCGTCTACCTGATTCCTGTTCGAATTGGAATTTGGAATTGTTGGTGTTTGAGGAGAGGAGAAAACCGAAGCACCCGAATAAAAACCTCTCGGAGCAGGGGAGAGAACTAATAACAAACTCAACCTTAATATAGGGTCGATGTCGGGATTTGAATCCGGAATAGATTGGTGAAAGGCGAGTGCTCTCACCACTGCGCCTCTTTTGCTCCCTTGGAGTAGAGAGTAAGATGATGTATACCTGTCTGTCGAAGTTCCGTCAGATGTGCGTTATTGCCTCTTTCAACCAATTCGTAAACAGAAAGGTTTTCCTCCTCACTTCCATTAACAGTAGCGTCCTACCAGATATTAATGACATTAAAGCATGATGTGAGCTGATACAGAATCGACCATTGCTAAGAGTACTTGTGGAATTGATTCAGCTTTCCTATAAACGTATTTCACGGCGTTCTGGAATCCAGGAAATATTTGCTTGCGAAATCCAAAATCCTGGGATTTGGAATCCAGAATTCAGCCGAGGAATTTGCAATACCGCTATTGAATGGAATCTGGAATCCAAGTTCCACTGTAACACAAGGAATCCAGAATCCTTTGCCTGTGATCCGGAATCCACAGTATGGAATTCATGATCAGAATTCGAGACTGTCTTGAATTATCTTACACGGGGTGACACAGTTGGTTTCTGCATTTTAAGCACTGTTAATTTGACCAATCAATATAGTCAAATTTTTTAACGGACACCTCTAAAAGGCGGACACCTAGAGTTGGTCCCTGCCTTTCTTTACTCCGTTAATAGGAAGCTTAAGCAACAATGACGACGACAGCTACAAAAACGTCACTTGAAAAGTGAATTCGCGCTGCTTCAAACATTTATCTCGCTTATTCCAACTCATTCAATTCGTCAAATTTTCGTGGAGTTGAATTCTAAAAGACTGTATCAAAGTTCAGGAAAAGAAAAAGAAAGTCGTTGTCTTGAGTTCACGTCGTCAACAAAACAAGAAATTAGGCACTTTCACGTTGTAGTCGTGACGGCAAAGAAATGTACAAATAAGCTTGATGCACGTGCAAAGTTGTTGTTTTGCTGATCTAAACCTATCGCTTTTTTGCCGTTCTCGTTGCCGTCGAAGTCGTCGTTGGCTTAAGCTCCCTAATTTGACTGTCCATGAGCCGGACATTACTCTAAGATAGACACTAAGTGCTGTCTTAGAGAGCCCTGACTGTACTACCAGTTTTTTCTATTGAAAACTATCTTTAAGTACAATTATTATTTTCAATTTTTTCTCTATTTACAAGGCAATTGAACAAAAAAACTAACCTCACTTACAGATTGCACTTCTCCTAAAAATATAAAGGAAAAAATATAATTTCATTTTTATTAAGTATAACAATGTTCAATTGGTTGCAGTAATTTAGTTTGGTCAGCAGCTCGTAACCCATATTTGACCAATCATAGAAGTCAGTGATGCTGTAACTCAGTGAACCAATCAGAATTCTAAGTTCAACCTCTTTCCCAGGGTCTTCTCACTCCCCAGGGACGGGTAGGAGAGGACCCTGGGAACGAGCTTGTTCTAAGTTAGAGCAAGTGACCGGCTTTTTGCGCGGGAAAACTGAAACTGAAATATAAGAAAGACAGGCACAAGCCAAATGACAGAATAATTCTTTTATCTTCGTTAATTTTGCCGAATGTATCCTGAGTAGACGTCATTTACTTACACCGCTTAAACATAACACATTTCAAAACAGGGGGTGTCATTATCAAATATGACGTTCATGTCTTAATCGTCTCACTGTTTTACACGCCTTTGATGGTGTAATTAACATGAAGGCAAATTCAGTGTAATGTCTTACGTTAATTTGGCTCGTTAGGATATGATTTTACCCAAAGAAGACATCGTGGTATTTGAAATTGATTTTTTTTTATGTTTATTGAACCATACTTTTTGATCTTTTCATAAGAATCTGGTATACTGAGGTCAAATATAAATTTTCAGCGATTTATGGTTCCAATATCAGAGTTGGTATTTTTATAGCTTCCTTAGACAATGAAAAGACAAAAATTACTATGCAAACAAGATACTCTTCTATAAGAAACGCAGTTATTTGCTTGGTTGATTTCATGTTTAAATTGCCGAACAATGTTTTTCGATCAGCAAATCTCTGATAAGTTGGGCCTGTTTCAAACGTCGTGCTACTGCCGTGCTAAGCTGGCTCGACTGTAGCTAGACTGAAGCACGACACTAGCACGACTTGGTTTCAGACGTCGAATTTAATTCAGTCGAATAGAACGGCTGTTGCCGAAAACAAAACACAAAAATAAAGGAACGGTTTAGCAAACTTTTAAATGTATTCGAATGTATTTATAATTTATCAATTTAGTTCAGCACAGCAGTAGCACTACTTGGTGTCAAACGTCGCGCTACTGCCGTGCTAAAGTAGAGTTGAATTCGATCAATTGAGATCGGCACGGCAGTAGCACGACGTTTGAAAGGGGCCTTAACGAACATCCAAAAGGATGTATTTGCGGTTGATGTGATTCACCACAAAGTTGAAACTAAAATATCTAGATAAACGACAGTCTGCTTAAAATACATCGACCGACCTTGAGCCCCCTCGTTTCTATCCGTTCCAACGCGTCTGAAAAATACAAAAGACCATTAAAACTGAAAGGGACAGTTAATTATGGACAGTTAATAAAATAAAATAAAATAAAAAACAGGTAGAAACAACAAAACATAAAAATAACCTTCAAACTACTTACATCAGATTGCCCATCCTTCGAGCAATACAGAGCAACAGCAGCGACACGGAAACAACAAATATTCCTACCAGTGTTCCGGGTAATACAGTTCTTAATAACACATTCATCACGTTATTTTCTGGAGGACTTGTAGTGCATATCTGAAGCGAAACAGGTGGAGGAAATCTCAGCAAAAATGTCATTATTCCAAAAGATAAACAAATAAATAGAATGACTGTCTTTATATCAATCTTTTCTGCTGTTGCTTTTGAGCTGAATTCAGGATTGTTAAATCTAACGATCTGGATTAAGACGGAATCCATCAGGAAATTCAGTAATTTTAGTTAATGTTCAGTGGACAAAAACCTTGTACCAGAATAATTTAAAGCATATTGCATTCATTTTCACATTTTTCAAGGGCTAAAGATGTAACCAGTCATCAGCAATAACACCAAAGAGAATTTCTCATGGGAGCCCAAGAACATGAATGTTAAATTTCACAAAATTACATCAATGAATGAATGAATTTTTCAGAATTTTAACTGTGTTTTCACAATTCTTGTGAAATTTGACAATTATTTTCTCAGACTTCCATGAGAAATGTTCTTTGGTGCTATTGCAGAAAACTAATTACATCTTTATAGTTAGCATTTGTAAAATGAAAAAAAAAAGAATGCAATATATTCTTTAAATTATTCTGGTACAAGGTTTTTGTCCACTTAAAATTTAAATTACTCAATTTCCTGGTGGATTCCGTCTTAAGCTGAATTTCAAGCCCGTTTGCTTGAATAAAAATAGTCAAAACCACCAATAAGGAACAGCTCTGCGATAGAGATAATTTTTCAGAAATTCTTTAAGAATTCAGGTCTATAACATCACTCAGTTATGCTTTGTGTTTTAAGCTTTTCAAAACACAAGTGCTCGTTTTGAAAACATTACGTCAAAAATCTTACATATAAAAAATTCACGTAATCATAGTAAGTGAATTCTAAAAGTATCTTTGAACTGTGCGGGAAACATGCGGATGGATCAAAACCTATTTATTTTGCAACATCACGAATTAGGCCCTCTTACATATATAGACTAAACAGACTTTGGTGACTTCAGTGGAGTGTCGTGACACCAACACCGAGGTCAACATATAAATAATATATGCTAACAGATTATAGAGGTAAAATACTAAGAGAGATTGTATTATTGGTTTTGGTTTTGTGTATAATTGGCTAAGAAAATGGCGCGAAATACTCCAGCCAATTGCAACGCATGGTGATGCAAAGGCAGGGAAATAACGATGGTATGCGACAGGTAATATAGTTTTACTTTCACTTCTGTGGTGGAAGTTCTCGACAAAAAAAGTACCACATAACATGAATTGGTTAGTTGATTTTTTTTAAATAGTGACTGAAAAAGGCCGTAACGGGAAGAAACTTGTCTTTACTAAGCCAATATCAGAAAACTACCTTTTCAAAATGTATCTATAGCTATCTTAGACGTTTTATTTATTATTATTATTATTTTTTTTTTTTGTGAGGCACCAAACTTCAAAATCTTAAGGAGGCAACTTTCATACTGACTACGGAACTGCCGGGAGCTGAAGAAATGAAAATTTCATCTGGAGATGAATAGGTTTTGATAAGGTGAATTACTCTGCCTTATGAAGTGATATGGTTCAGGCATTTCTGATGTATTAATTAATTTAGCTCGCAATTTTTCAAAGTAAAGAAAAGCTCGTAAGGAAACAAGGAAAAGCAACCTTTAAAGCTAAAACAAACCTGTTAATCGACTTCAAAGTGAATTATGCCAAGCGAAGACGTTGTAACGGACAAACGCCACAGGATGTTAGCAAACAACCACAAACTCAAATCATTTCTGATCACGTTTCGTTTTTCCTTTATCATGTTACCCCTCAAGTGATTATTCAGTTCTTTTTTTTTTTACGAGAGGCCGTGGGCGTGCGTAATCGTAGGTTTCCAATACTGCATATCTTCATATCGGAAGAAAACGTATCTTTATTGCTTCGGAGATACCAGATAGTTTCAATTAACTCCATCAGTTGCTTCAAACAGAAAAAAACTATCGTGTTTTTCGCAAATATAAGTTGTTTGATACAAATTATTCTCTAATACTAACAATAATCGTGCCTTTTTTTATAATTACTCCTCAAAGTTTCCTTTCACAAATGAACGAAAATAACAACCCACGAGTACCAATTATCTCTGCTATTTCCGATTTATTGATGTAAAATTCTAATTTCCATTGAGTTGAACAAGATAAGCTAATGAGTGGTCGTTTAGTTAATAAATTTGTCAAAAACGTCAATCTAAACTGCGCACACGACTTTTTATTGACTGATTCAAAGAGCTCTCCAGTGATTTTTGTCAAAGACAACAAAACATCACGAAAAGCTACAATTGTCTAAAGTCCCTACATTCAAAACATATCCGTGTATATTTGCCTCAGGCTATAGGGTTTGAAAAACAACGACACAGCACGTTCTTTTATGAATATTTTCTTCTCTGAAAGTAAATCTGCCAGGAGGCAAATTTCTACTTAATAAGCTGATTTGTACTGGCCATTAATTTATAAACCCGATATTTAACGGTGAGTTTAGCTTACGGCCTAAAGAGGTCATTTTTTAACTTTTGTTTTCTTGAAAAAGTGCCAAAGGCGAACTGATTCAAGAATAAATTATTTTGATTAGCAGAATAGTGAAAAATAATTGGAATCGATCAGGCGAAATCACCGCAAGAATCGTCACACTTCACGATTTCCTCTTCATACTCAACAGCTATAGCTATTATTTTTGGCTAGTGCCAGTATCACGGGAATGTAGCTTTCATTTGAATGGTCACACTTAAGGATTTCATTCACAGACACAAAAGTAGAACCATGCACCTTTTACAAAACAAAAAATAAACAGTACCACAGGAAAGTACTGCTCAGTAGCTTTCATTTGCATGGTCACACTTTAGGATTTCATCCACAGACTCAAAAGTTAGAACCACCTTGTACAGCATAATAAACAGTACCACAGGAAAGTAC